AGAGTTGTTAGAGACGTGTGACAGATTTCACTGCACATGCCTCAAATTATTCCTCGGTCACATAGAAATGTGCGCTCAGATCAATCTCACTGTGCACACAGATTGGGCACTTTGTGCTGAAATTTGTGGCACCGATAATGAAACAGGAAGAAACTTTGGAGTTATTTATCATGCTAAGATTTTTTTAAAAATGCAGCAAATCATAGATTGTAATAAAATATGTTTCATTCAGGTAGACAGTTTCCTAAAAAAGTTTATTTCAAAATGGGAACACATTTTTTTTATCTCCAGCCTTATTGTTACCACCAGAATACCATGAAATATTGTGAATTAATATTTTAATCGCAATAAAATACAACAAGAACAATTCACAAGATAATAATGCAATGGATTGAAATGTTGAGTCGGAGACACTGTTACTCTTTCTGCACAATGTAAGCCTTGGGAACTTAAATTGTTTACATTTACAAAGTGTTTGAGTTAAAAATATTAAACTAATTTTATTTAGTAAATTTATGAAAAGGATTCTTGCACCTCTGACCCGACACCCTCCGGACCAAATATGACTTGGGAACGTTCGTGCATCATTCATTTGCAAACATATTACAGACTCCTCCCAGAATTTAAAGAACAAAACTGTAAAAACTGACATTTTTCTATTATCTGTTTCATGCGGCTCAATCTCTTGCACATTGGTCAAGAGAGTTAACATACTTTCTTTGGTCCAGAACAACAACACTGGCTTGACTACCAAGATGGCGTGGATCACTTCTGGTTTCCACTTTCTAAGGCTTTTACAGTAACAGCTGTCGATCCATCGGTGTCTCCGAAGAGGAACAGGCCTATGTTACATTAGAAACACATAATGTAACATAAGTTGGAGCCCTAATAGTTTATTTGTTGAATATAAGTCTTATTTGCCTGAAGAAGCTCTTGAATGCAGGAATGATATGGGGCACCCGTGTGAATCAGAAAGAGTACTTTTCTATTCTTTTGTTACGTTGATACATAAAACTACTGTGTAACTTACGGTCAAGGGATTTATTCAGCAAAAGTTGAATGGCTCTTTAAACTAAGACAGCCCTTTTTTCTCCCAGTGACAAAGGCAGATGTCATTCTTTGTGCATAACGTGTCAGATTAGGATCAAAGTTAATTTTTTCCAGGTTTGGCCCCTGGTGTCATTTACACCGCAGTAAATGTGTAAGCTTGCATTCCAGGTCTTGTTGTTATCAGTCATGAACTGAACCAGGAGTTGTTGCTTCCTTCTCTTTCTAAGTTTTGCTTTATAGTCATTATTAAGTTTTTTTATGGCTGCATTGTAAAAACTTCTGGTTCCAAATGACACAAGTGTCGGTTTGAGACAAAAGCTCTCAATATTGTTCTAAAACTCTTTACCAATCGATAAAATGCAAACTTAACAGTTTTTCCACAAGGATGAGCAAATTTCTTTATCACTCTGAGTTGCGTCATCAACAAGAAATGCAAATTCCTTGTCTTCTGAAATATTTTAATAATAGTTATATTTGGCATCTGTGCTATTTTTAGATCTCTGACTAAGTTTAGTCAGAGATCTAAAAATAGATTTCAAAACTATCTATAGCCTTTCTCAAGAATTTTTGTCACAATAGCATCAAGAATTTTTTTAAATGAAATTGAAATTGTTTATTTACACGTTCTATAATTGGTGAAAAGAAAACACACACTTAGTTACAAACCTATGTATAAACTATCTGAAAAATGTGCCACACATTTTAGCGCCTTTCAGTGTTTTCGAGGTATATCTTTGAAAAGAAGCTGAAGCAAACATCTGAACTTCAGTTGTCCAGGTTTGCAACTGCTTCTCAGTTGGATTGAGCTCTGAACTTTGACTGAGCCATTCTAACATGGATTTGCTTTGATAAATATACTTTGGCTCTGGTTGTGAAAGGTTCCTCTGCAGCTGAAGGAGGAACCTCAAAACAAGTTTAAGTCTTTGGGAGCTTCCAAAAGCTTTTCTGTAAGGATTCCTCTATATTTGGCCCTATTTTATCTGCCACTGAACTAGAAGCTTCTGCTTTCTGCTTTTTCTAAATTTTGTTACATAACTATCTTTTTATTAAGGCAGCGTTTGAACAATTTATCTGTAGTATTTGGAACCACTTTCGATGCATTTTGGATCTCAACATGAAACAAATATTTAACTTGAGAGAAATCGCTCAATACTTCTCTGAGCGCTTCACCCGTCTGGGAAACTCAGCTGTTTTACTACAAGGCTGATCAGATTTCTTTTAGGATTCTGAGTTGCATCACCAACAAGGAAACAAGCGTCACCATTGTAAACTCAAATTCTCATGGTTGACCTTTGAGTGTCGTCATCAATGCGTAACTAGCGCTAAACACCTGTGCTATTTTTAGCTTGTGGTCTAAAAATAGATTTCATCCTTTTTGAAATGCGATACGATTTCTTTGACATGTAGTGACACTTTTATTGTTTTTAAGACACAGGTGCTCACACCTGCATGCCACTGCAATGTGAGTGCAAAGGTGTGCTGAAAAGATATTGACAGCTGCTGAACTTTCTTAAACTTTGACATGTTAGAAGCACAAACTTTATTAAAAGTTTCATCCTTTTTGTTTTATTAAAACCTTTCAAACTCAGAAGTTTTAGTCCTAAAACTTGACTCAGAATAGACTAGATGGAATGGGAAAAAAAGATTTCTGTATCACACAGTCTGGTAAACATAAATCATGTGAGCATTTGTTTATGTTGGAGCCATAATGCAGTTCTTTCTTAGCATTTCTCATGATGTTGTGCTTGATGTTCTCTCTCCTCTCAGAGGTAGGTATTGCAACACACTCAGACATGTCTGGGAAGTGCAAAGGTACAATACTTGGCAGTCATGTAGAGATGAGATCAATGATTACCTTTTCAAAAGGTTGTATTTTTTTTTTTTACTAAAGTTTTGGAAAAAATTGAACCGTAAACCATTTTCTAGACAATTAAAAGCCTGGTTTTTATTCTCTGGATTTGCTTTACAAAAACAACCAAAGGAGTTAATCAGAAGATAATAGTCTAATACTCTATTATTAGACTATTAACATGGTCTATTAGTTGTTAATCCCAAAGGTCGACTTGATTAGGGACTTTTTACGTCAACATTCACAGAACAAAGAGCTTTTTCAATTGCCACACAGATTAAAAAAAAAAACAGAAACAAGTTTCCTGCTTTTTCTGATAACCAACTTCCCCCTTCATGGTTTTATTGAAAGACTTTTTTTTTCTTACATTTTTGTTGTTGGATGCCCACTGTGAAAAACAAAAAAAACAACAAAAGTGAGTGTATGTGCAAAGTCACTGATGTTGAGATGCACTGTGTGCACATAAAAAAAGGAAATTCCACTCCCATGTACCAGGAAGAAGATTCCTGGGTGACTGTTTTAAGGTAAATGTTTGACAAAAATGTGCAGAGGAAGCTGAATGAGTATGACTACAGCATTTCACTTTTTTCATGTTTTATGTTACAGCCTTATTCCAAATTGTATCAGATTAATCTCATTTCTTAAATTTTTACACATAAATACCCAATTATTACAGTTTAGATTTTTTTTTTATGTTTTGCAAATTTACTAAATGTAGAAAAAACAAGAATTCAGATTTACATATGTATTAAGAGCCTTTGCGGATCAGTAGCTGTGTTTGCTTTAGCCATAAAATTGCCCAAATGTAATAAGCATGCTAATTTTGAAAAAAAAAAAATAATAAATTTTGTTAAGTTTGTGCACTGAGGAGGGAGTTTTGCAAAATTACAATGGAAACACTTTTTTCGCATCACATAAGTCACGTAAACAGCAGCCGGATGTTACTACTGCTGGAGACGTTGAAGAAGACAACAGGAAGTAGTACTCTCAGCCTCTCACAGTTCATAAAAGGTTGCGTGTCATTCGAATGTGTCGAATCCATAGCGCTAGTGTAAAATGGTCAACTATAATTTCCCTAAAACGGCGCATATATAGCCGCTCCCGAGAAGGCAGGTTTGTCCCTCCGACACCTGAATAAGATGGAGACTGATGGCTGAGAGATGATGAGCGCTAGTGACATCACTTATTTATCAATGATTACATCCATCGCCGCCATGATTTAACGACTTACCCTGTGAACATGCTCATTCATGTGTAATTTTCATTGTGTTTCTTATTTAATCAAAACAATTTCTGTAATGAGTGAAAATTTTTCCATTTATTTCTAAATTAAATGTAAAAAAAGACTTGATTAATGGTAATGATTATTCTTGAAATCTTCATGCTACACGCCAGACATCGTATGACCTGCATGTTGATGTTTTCTTTGACTGCATTGAAAATCTATTTATTTCAAATTCAAAATGATCATTTTCTGTAAGGCAGCATACGTTTAGGTTTCCCTCCACTGCAAAAACACAAAATACTTCCAACTATTTTGGGTCTAGTTTCAATTCAGACACATGAAATAAGACAAAACAGGTCAATTTTCATCAAGATATAAGAGCTTGTTTCAAGTAAATAATCCTTTAATACTGTTAAAATTGTATAGCAAGATATTTTCTCATGTAATAAGTGAAATAATCCACCAGTGGAACCAGAACTTTTCATCAATATTATGGAATTATTGGTCTAAAACAAACTCCTCTGTCTTCCTAAAATGAGTCTTATTCCTAATAAGATAAAACTAAGTTGGTTTTATCTTATTGCTACAATACTGGCACAAGAAACTAGATCAACAATAGTTAATTTTTTGCGTTTTTGCAATAGCCTTGATTCAAACTTCACTATTCTGAACTCCAAAGCTGCAGTGCAAAACTCATCCATGCAGTGAATTATTAGTTTTATTAACCAGAGGAAATTTCCAGGCTTACTGTCAATCATTTCCTGGTTTTATACTGAAGAAAAGCACATGGTCTCTCTTCACCCAGCCCACCTGGGAAGTCCCACTCCTGGCTTCACGGCCTATTTAAAGGAGGGATCGCAGCACCTGATGTGTAGCAATAGCTGAATTCCTTCAGACCTGTTGCAGCTTCGTTCACACTCGATAGACCAAGACCAGCAGTGGCGTGAGAATGGAGAGCAACAAGGCGTGTCTCTTTGCAGCGCTGTGCGTCTTCCTCATTGTTTCCAGCTTCGTCTGCAGCTCAGATTCAGGTGAGTGAGTCCGACCTGTGGAAGCGCCAATGTGTTTGAGTTGAATATTTCCAGAGAATGTGATTCATTAACGGTTGGTTTTTCTGTTCGCAGCGAGCTGCTGCACCAGATACACCAAAAAGAAGCTGTCCTGCCTTCAGGTGAAGAACTACAGCATTCAGACCATCCATGGCTCCTGTGACATCCAGGCCATCATGTGAGTTTGGATGACACTATTACAAAAAATGTAAAAAATTATGAGTTTCTGGAGCTTCTAATGTCTTTTTTTAATAATATGCACAATTAAGGGACAGTTATTGCCTTACTAAGGCAAAAATTGCTGCAATAACTATAATACTTGCAGTAATAATTTTGTGCACAGTGCATGTCAGATACTGGGTCAAACATTAGACAGGTATTAAACCAAGGATGTGAATGAAATGAAGCAAATCTGCACATACGTTTCAATAATAATAATAATAATAATCAAAAACCTACTTGTTTAATTTTTGTTTATTATGGAGCCGGAAAAATATTCCAGATGATTTTGGCTCATGATGGAAAGTTTGTATTAAATCTGCCATCATCAGTTGGTATCACCAGATCAAACCCAGTTTATTTATAACACTAAATATAAATTTGCATTTGTTAGTAATTTGCTCTAGTGGATGGGGACCAAAATGGTTTCCAGCCCAGGGCCCACATCCAGGTAAATCCGACCCTGGTTAGAAAGTAAAAACAGCTTCTTCAGATGTTAATTACCAATAAAAATAAAATTAACGATGAGAAAAATCTTGTTAATCATCTACCTAAGTAGTAACTACTTATATTTACTCAGATTTACTTGATCATTTTTCTTAAATTTACTTCAGGATTATTTTTGGTGAAATTTTACCTGAGTAAAATTTCTGGATTTTCTACCCACTGAATGAAAAACATGTTTTAACCAAAAAAATCAGCGGACACACACCTGCAGTTTTGTTAAAGTTTAATAAGTTTTTATTGAAATAATATGACTTGGTAAAAAAAAATAACTTTTGCCTATTTTTTTTTATTATTACTTAAATAAATTATTGTCACTTTGGTGTTTAAAATACCAAAATCTTCAGTTGACTTTATATTTTGATCCGTCTTATGATATATTGAATGATTGATCATTTGATTAGTTGCTCAGAACTTCACTCTTCGTTGAGTATAAACATGTTGAGGTTGTGCTACTCGTCGTTTTTGGGAACTCTTCCCCCTCTGGATTTCAGCTCATGCATGTTTGCTCTCGTCTTGCAGTTTCCACGTCAATGGGAGGTTCGTGTGCGCCAACCCGGCAACGCCGTGGACCGGGAGGGCCGTGAAGTGCGTGGAGTGAGTATTTTAAACGTTCCTCTGCACGTGCATCATCTTCCGGCTCTCGCGGCCTCTAACTGATCAAATCTGTGTTGCTGTTTGCAGTGAGAGACGGAAAAAGAGAGTGAATGAAGTCATGAAGAAACAGAGCAATGACAACAACACTAAATAACTTGGAGACAAAATGGCTGGAAAATAAGAGAAAATGTGTTTAAGGTTCTCAAAAAGTCTTGTTGAATGGTAACAGGGATTTAATGCTTTTCTTCGTACATATTTTTTGTACATATATCTCTTCTGTTTCATAAACAGGAATGTGTAGTATTAATAATACCCCAGCTATAGCTGTGTCGATAAAGGGAAAATAACCTGTATGTTTTTTTAACAATAAATTAAACTAACATAACTTTACATTTACAATGGTTCAACATAGATGTGCTGCAGAAGTAACTTTTTATTTGCTGAGATTTTAACATAAAAAATTTTAAATGGTGTTAAAAGTAATAAAGCTGGAAAAACGTCACTTTGTACATTTGGTTTTATTTGAGAGTTTCAAGCATTTAATTATAAACATCTTTTTGGGTTTCTACACTTTAAATGTTTATTACATTTCTAAAATTCATGCATAATATAATATGTACAATAATCTATGTTTTCATGTAGAAAAAGAAGAAGCAAAAATTGTTTTCACCAACATAGGAGATTTCTTCTATGCAGCAACAATTAATAAAAGGTTTTTCCCTCCTTTCGAAAGTGCAGATAGTTTAAAATCACTCATCTATGTTCACTTTCTGTGAGGAAGTGAAAGTTATTTAAAGAACTTCAGAGTTGGGACTTTTTCATTCAAATCATAAAATGCAGAATATTCAGTTTTTATAGTTTTGCTTTCAGCCTGTGAAGAATTTATATTTGTAAAAAAACTGCTGCAATTTTGTGATTCTGCATTGCTGATTTATTTTACTTCAATTTAATACAAATGTTAATTTTTCCCAGATAATTTGTAAACAAATAATCAGATAATGCTTTAGTAAATAGCATGTGGTGAATTACTTACACAAATAAAGTTTATTTTCTCACTTTTGTTTTTGTGAAAGATTACAAAAAGGCAAAATATTTAGAAAATAATGCACAAAATAATACACATGATAATACTGTATCTAAAAAGAAAACACTGTGAGAGGGGAAACTTGTGATCAAACCAGAAAGAGAAACAGGATCTGACCAAACACAACTAAAAGTCTGTTAGGTATAGAAATGCAGTTGAGATTTACTGGAAAAATAACTTTTACTGGCATAAAATCATAAAAATAAAAACACAGAACATTAAAATTAACAGTACAGAAACCAATATTTGTCAAATCTTGCTAAAGAAAAAGACGAAATCATAGTAAGGCCTCTGCATTGTTCTACAATGTCTGAACTTTTGAAGATGTTTTTTGACTCATAGTACAATATCTTTTAGTTGATTGAGATATAAATGAAATCCTCTGTTGTTCCCACGATGCAGAAAATAATCCCAGCTCGTCCAGGAGGAAGTCGTTAATTGTGCCCTTCCTTCTCATCAACACGTTTCTATCACAGCGAGTTGTAATTTCTGCTCATCTGGATCGTTGCCGGTCCGCAGAGCGTTCCTCAGGTTTTCCCAGAATACCTCTGGGTGGTCTGCAGCGCGCGGCCAGCTCAGGTAGGTCTGCTTCTTCAGCAGCTTCCTCATTCGGTGGAAAGGAGACAGCATGGAGGTGGGAATGTCCTCCAAGAAGACTAAGATCAGCACATCCTTCTGCTCGTCAAAGAGACGGAAACTGAGGAGAGAAAACGGTTTTAGGGAAACAGTGTTGATTTTAGGGTTGTTAAAATAATCTACATTTCGATATAATTAGTAGTAGCGCTGAAATGAGTACTCAAATTATTCGATTTAGAGCACTATGTTCTGGTTGGGTGATTATTTGTGTTGCGCAACGTTTTTATTTACACCTGGGAGTTGTTGACAGATGCTAAGTTCTAGCAAAATAATGTCCCATTTTCAAGTTCAGGGGGATTTCATTGATGAAATTGTCCACAATTTTTTTCATTTTTCCAGGGACCAATAAGGATTTTTAAAATGTCTGGTGTGATGACTGGAGAATGGCAGTATTTCTCTTCCTGGAGCTGCTGCATGGTGGCGGTGAAGAGCGCGGCGGGTGCATTTGTACAATTGGAGCAGAGCTTCATGCAGATACAGATGGAGTTGCTGATGCTTAGCGAAAGTATAGGTGTGTGAACGAACTGGAAACTAAGTTTCCTACCATTTTAGTGGCAACAAATGGGTGGCGGAGCGTACCGTGGTGGTACATATATTTCTCTGCGTGTGACAAACCAAATTCAGTCATTCAAACGGACATAAAAGCTCTAAATTGCTGAGCACAGTGAAGGTTCATCTGTTAAATTAACTGAAGATTAATACATAAACTGTAGTATAGATATATTTTTATAACTGTGTTTATGAGCCTGCTTCTTTATTACTATATTGAATAATTTTTTTTATTTTTGCATAATTTTGACCCAATTAACTTAAAAAGTCAGCTATTTTTGTCACTGGTTAATTTTTTCAACTAGAGAAAAATAATTGCGTGGGATACACAAATATGAAAAGCTGGTATACATAGTATTGGACAGCGCTGTTTTCTTTTGCTTTACCTGGCTGTCTGGACCTCCCTGGAGCACCACTCGCTCCTGAGATATCTGCGGCTGATCACACAGATCGTCTTCCTGCTGCTATAGATGGCATCTGTGATGTTGTCTATGATGGGCTTCCCTGCAGAGGAGAACAAACCACAGAGGTTCAGCTAATATACAACAGTGACACCCTCTGGAGAACTAGTGGCATTACAACCTCACTGGTTAAAACTATTTCTGGGAATTTATACCAAACTGCTGTCAGTGATGTTGAACTTGTGACATGAGAGAGCAGAGGCTCATAGAGCTGCAAGGTGGAGCCGTGGTAAAAAGAAATGACGAACTAGTCTAACAACTTGAAGCTTTAGGAGCAGAAATTATGTTGAGAAAATAAAACCAAAGCAAATCCAAAGATGCTTGTTAGCACAAGGGAACAAAGGTTTTTCTCGAACTGCAAAATATTTCAGCTTTGACTAAATAAGATGCAAATCTAAAAACAGGATTCGAAACAACCACAAGATATTTATGAGAATATTTAGATGAAGTCACATTGCTGTACATGTGACTAAAGTACACAATGAGTTGCTGACGCTCTTCACACCTAAAGGTGCCTCTCCTGATGTGAACACGAGTGAAAACAGTTTTAACATGAGGTGAAGGTACAGAGACCCTTGTACCTCATAATTCCCCAGACATTCTTGGAAAGTTTCCAAAGAGTTTGAACTATTATTAACTTTTACAATTTGTGTTTATTCTGTTAGGTGGTTCATTTTCTTGTCTTCAGAGTTGTGGTCTTTCGTGTCAGAGTTTCTAATTTGCAGTTTCCTGTTTTGTTTCTGGTTATTTTGAGCTTTGTGATTGTACCGTTGTGTATTTTGTACTCTCTGTACTCCACACTCTGATCATAGTCTCCTCACTTGTCTCTTGTTATTTCACTCTCTGCTGTTGTGTCTTGTCATCTCATCATGCTCCTGGTTTCCAGTCTTTGTTTTTCAACTTGCTTCACAATCTTGTTGTATTCTAGAACTTTGACTTTGTTTTTGTTCATTTCTGTTTGAGTTATTTCACTTTTCACATATATCAAACCTCCCACCTCCCCTGCTTTGCTTGCGAAAGCGTGACATGATGTCCATCATGCTACAGGAGAAAAGATTGTTTACTGCGGGAAACATTTAAAACAGTTCTTAGGAGTGAAAATTGCAAATGTGTGAAATTTGGGGATTTTATGTCAAAGTATTCCTCAGACAAAGGTATTGCTAGCTGTCCAACAGCCAAACTGAAGATAATGGCTAGAAGTTACTAAAATAATCACATCAACCAGGTTAAAAAGCAAATATGTGATTTTAATGTTCCCAAACCAGACATTTTTTCTCCAGGAAGTCCTGGACATGAGCATGTCTTTGTCCCAAAAATGCAAATCCAGCTCTGTAAAACATCCTCAGAGACTTGATGATCTTTAGAGATCAAGTCTACAGATCTGATCACCTTTTCTACCATTGAAATGAAAATTACAGTGCAGATGGTTTAACTTTTATATTTGTAATAAAGTGGTACTTGAAGGAAAAATACCGTTTGTGTGTCAAGTTAAGTGAAGATCCAGTTTTAAGTTATTTGATACACATAAAGACCAACAGTGGGTATGTAAATGGCAACTATGTTAACAGAAAGATCAAATAGTATGTGAATTTTACCGCATGCAAAGGAGACGTCATAGACACTCCAGGCTGCCATACCAGCGATTAGCAGAAGGTCTCAGTTCTGGGTTTTCGACCAGGTTTTGTGTTCAAGTAGCCCAATTACTCAATATGTGGATTATAAAGCATTGTCAAATACGAACCCAGTGAGTACACAAGTAAATCCTAAAATGTTAAATGTTAACATTGACAACAATAGGATTGCATGAGGTTGGTTTTATGTTCTAGCATCCAATCTCTTTAACATCTGCTCTTCCTTTGTCCTGAGTTTCATGCAAATGTAAAGACTTCTCAGTGATGTAGAAAAGGTCTTACCTGGTTCAAAGTCTCGATGGTGCAGACACAGCCTCCAGCCCTGCTCTCCTTCCAGTTTGGGTAACAGTTCACCAATCACCCAAGGCTCATCACTGGAGTTGTAGGAGATAAAGGCGTCGTACCGATGAGGAGCTTGCTTATTTTTGTACTTTGAGTCAAAGAGCCAAGACCAGAATAGGTAGTAGGCAATGTAAAGTTGGGACCTCATGAAATGGTAGCTGAAGGACATAAACATGACAAAGAAAACCATGCATGTTGTGGACACAAAGCAGATGAAACCCTTATCTTGTAAGCAGGATGTGAAATCAAAATCCAAAAGCTTTTTGCCTTTGAAGTCATCTGGATAATTGCAAGAGTAGTTATACGCATCAATAACCTGTGTTTGTGTATTTGCTATTGTCCAGTTTAGAAACCAGGCATTGTCACAGTCACAGGAGAAACTAAGATATGTAAAGTCAACACACAGGAGCGATGGAAGCGACTTGATTACATCTTCGGTGATGACTGAGTATTGGTTGTGTCGTCCCTCCAGGAACTCCAGCTTGGTCAGATTGGCATCTATGAAGAAATCTAACGACTGAAGACCTGTTCGGTGTATGTAGAGGTTTTTAAGGTTTTGTATTGGGGCAAACAGTTCTGAAGACAGAGTCCTCAAATCATTTGACCCAAGATCAAGATTTTCGAGCTTTGGGGTGTATTTAAATGTGTCTTTATCGATGTAAACAATATGAATTCTTTTGGCATAGAAACTCAACAAGTTGTTTAAACCTTGCAGGAAATTTGCAGGCAGAAAGGACTTTCCAGAAGAATGCTGACCAATAATAGACAACTCCTCCAAACGGGACAGATTAGAAAATGGTGGATGCGTTAGAGGTTGACTGTCAAAATATTTTATATGATTAGAAGATAGATCCAATCTTCTTAGATTAATCAGAGCATTGAAAGCACCTGACTTTAAAGCCGGTCTTGCGATACTGGTTGACTGCAAGCGGACATCAGTGAGATTTGTCAGTCCAACAAAACTGTCTTTATAAAGGTCCTTTATTTGATTTTGATGTAATGATAAGTTAAGGAGAGACCTCAGGCCTCCAAATTCCTTTCCCAAAATTTTAGTAAGTTTATTTCCATTCAAATACAAACGTTTAAGGTTTGGAAGATGATTTTCAAAAGATCCATTTAATTGTGCTATCTGATTGGATTGTAATCGTAGAACTTGGAGTCGTAGCAAATCCTTGAAGGCACATTTGTTCAGAGCTGAGATTGAGTTATTCTTCAAGCTTAGTTCCTTCAGCATCGTCTTATTGGCGAAATCTTGACATGTGATTGAGCGGATTGTGTTGCTATCTAGATCAAGCTCAGAAAGATTTTGTAGATTCCTTGTTGCGATTGGAACAGATGAAAGTTTATTTCTATTCAAGCTCAAAATCCTTAAACCTTTTAGTGCTGTGAAGGCATTTTCTTGGATAATTTTTATATGATTATCTGCTAAATCTAACTCAGTCAGATGGACACATAATTTGAACAAATCTGAATCGATAATTTTGAGTTTATTGCGTCGAAAATGCAATTTGGACATTGTTGGAATGGAGCAGGAAATGTTGATGAGTTGACTTTGGTTGCGTTTCATGCTGTTCATCCGCAGAAAGGTGAGTGATGAGTTTACAGCTTTAAATAACTCTTTCATATCATCAAGAGACATAATCAGCCCACTGATGTCAAGACTGGACACTGTGCTCAAGAAAGTATGGTTTTTCAGATCCCACGTCATTGGTTTGTTGCCGTAAGGATTGCCGATCTTCAGACAGGTGAGATTATGGAAGATGTCAGCAGTGATCCTGAAGTCTTCCAAAGGATTAAAAGTCAAATCAAGTCTGCAAAGATTGAGTGAGTTGTTGGTAAGTTCCCATGAATGAAAGGTTTTTAAACCATTTCCTTTTAGCACCAACTCTTGAAGCTGTGGCATGTGCTGCAATATCAGATGAACATCTGTGACCTGTTTCAGTTTGTTGTATGAAATATCCAAAACTTTTAATTTCCTCAAAGACTGGAACGATGTGGATGACACAATATTTATCTTGTTATGATTAATTCGTAACTCGGTGAGGTTGCTCAACCCATCAAAAGCTCTTTCCTCGAGTTTGATAACTTTATTGTTGTTAAGATTTAACTTTTTTAGGGAAGTCAGAGTGGCAAAAGCAGCGCTTTCAATATGTAAAATCTTGTTGCGATTCAGCTCCAAGTACACTAGAAGAGGTAAGGGTGTGAAATCTGAAGATCGTATCTTTGTCAGCCTGTTTACAGAAAGGTCAAAGCCGGTAACAGTCGGAGGAATATCCTGAGGAATAGTAGTCAGTCGTTTCTCTGCACAAAAAGCTATAGTCTTGCTCAGGCTGCAGCTCTTCAGTGAAAATCCACTGCCAGGAACAGCAGAACAGATCAGAAACATCAAGGGGAAAACCACGCTGCCTTTGGAACATCTTGAATGTCCTTTTGGTCTAGTTATATCCTCTGAACCCATTTTGTAATCTTCATCAAATTCTGTTTTGTAAATAGCCTCTGGATGAGTTTATCTGCTTTTCCTGAAAAGTCAGTAACCAGAAAAGTGTTTAAAATACAAAAGTTTGCAACATTTTTAGAAGTTTTTTTGTATTAAAATATAAATTTTCAGACACTTACTTTTACTTTTGAGAAATGCTCACATCTCAGCAAGCTTCACAAAACGTTGTGCCAACTGATCAGCTGAAAAAGTCAGCTCAGTAGTTTTTGCATTAGAGTGACACAATGTAGCTTAGTTTAGAATCAGATAATCTTTCTGCGAATGACTGAGGAAATGGAAGTTGCCTGCAGTAGTAGAGGAGGGGTATGTTTGGTTGTTGCTCATTTAAAATCTGCTGCCTTATCAACGTTAGTATTTTTAAGAAAACTGCATATTTGTGTGCAACGTGTATTTTAGAAACTATTGCATTTCTGTTTCCTGTTCCTTCTGTATTAGACAAAGATGGACAGAGTACCAAAATAATGTCCTCAAGTAAGAATACTTACATTTTTCTTACTCAAGTAAAACTAATGACTGTAGTAAGAATGAAAAAAGTTTGAAGTATAGAGTAATTGATGAAAACATCTGATTTAATATTTGGTGCTCAGAGTTGTGATCTTTCAACAGCACATATAATCTAAATTACTAACATTTAAACCTGATTTTGTGAAGAAAATAAAATCTGAAAATTTGTTTTGTGCTGCAGATGTTTGGTAATTTATGATAAACAATAAAACAGTTCTATTTCTTTTATAATATGTACGTTGAGGTCTGCCTGATGGGAGTGGTGAAAAAATACAGAAGTTATTTTATGTTCTGCATGTTGCGGGAAGTGGGACAGCTTCTTCATGAACCAAACCAACAGCCCACTGGAAAAGATCCCAGGAGTCCCATATAACTGTTCACCTCTATTATGAGAACATTGTATCCTGACAATATACCCTTTATTGTCAGCATATAACTATCCTGAAAATAAAGTTATATCTTAACTTTATTGAAGTTATATCTTAACTTTATTTGCTTGTTTTGTGCAACTTATGTGTAATTTTCTATGAAAGCTGCTTTATGAATAACCTTTATTCACTTCCTCTTGTGTCTTATGTGAAAACTGACACATCTTTTGTGGCTGTTTGGTTTCTGATATGTAAAATACTTCCCGTACTTTGCAGAACTTACTGGCTTCCCACTTCATTGCACTTCTGCTGGGTTATTTTTAAATAACTCGTTTCATCAACATTTTTGGCTTGAAGAATAAAAAATATGGGGTGGTTAATCGTCTTTTCAAAAGCATACATTGAATAAAAACACATCTCTAGTAAATTTGAGAACAAAAACTGAAATTTATATATTTTGAGATTATTATCAAACATTTTCTAGAAATTTCTGTTTAAAAAGTAAAAAATTTGTGAGTAAAAGAGATTAATCTCAAATTCGAAAAAACTTGTAAATTTGACCTTTGAAACTCAAATTTTCAGCTTTCTCGTAAATGTTTTATTTTTATATTTTCAATTAAATTTTTAACATACACCTGCAATTACAGTTTTATTTTTACTTACCACAAATAGTCTGATTTTAATGCACAAATACCAATGCACATTTTATACATTTTGTTGAATTAATTTATTCTACTGTACAGTATATCATTATTTCTGTTTTTCTACATATTTTATATTATTTTTGTCTTTTTGTCTCGACTGGCTGCCACTTTGCTGGTGTAACACATGAATTTCCCCACTGGGTGAATAACTATTAATGAGACATTGCTTTGTTTTTACAGAACAAACTTTTCTGGAACTAATTTGAAACAATAAATATATTTCAATAAAAGTGAAAACAAATAAAAAATGTATTTATAGAGAAACACTATCAAAAAGTATAAACCCAGTAATGAATTAAATGGGAAAAATAAAATTAGAGCGTTACATAGCATAACATAATACAACTAATAAATACACACAGATTAAAAGTATAATGATAACACATAATTGATAGCAATATGATTAGATATTTCTCAGCTAAATTACATATTTGTTCTCCAGTCGTAAAGATATTTCCTTCTCATTCCTGTATCAAACTGAGGACGTTTTCCTCATCTGGATCGTTTCCGGTCTGCAGAGCTTTCCTCAGGTTTTCCCAGAATATCTCTGGGTGGTCTGCGGCACGCGGCCAGCTCAGGTAAGTCTGCTTCTTCAGCAGCTTCCTCATTCGGTGGAAAGGAGACAGCAGGTAGGTGGGAATGTCCTCCAAAAATACCAGGATCATCACATCCTTCTTCTCGTCAAAGAGACGGAAACTGTGGAAGCCAGGAGAAAAGAAACGACTTTAGGACAAGAAATACCTGAAAGTTTATGACAGATTGAAGTATGGGGATGCAATAATAGCTTAGATTAAATTAGTAAATGTAGAAGGTTTTATATCAGTCGGGTCACTCTTGTTATTTTAAAAATCTCAATAAGCAAAAACAAAACAAAAAAGCGGCAAGTATCAAAAAGGAAAAAAGGATAAACATCTAAGAAGTTTTTAAAGGTATTAATACATAAGGTATTATGTATTTTCCAGGAATATAGAGCCATTTTATAGCAGTTGCCTTCAGTTGTTATAAAAATGCAATATATATCAAATATGACAAAAAAAATTGACTTAGTAATTTAACTTCTTAAATCGAAATTGAAATTGGGCCTCTGTCTCTTTAAGAAGCTCCTACTCTTTCTGAAACTCTGCCTTCAGGCAGTCATCACAACATGGCTCCTCTATTAGGGCCAAAAGAATTATTTTTCCTGCAAAGGTTTAACTGTTCAAAATCAAAAAAATTCTAAATGTCAAACATTTTGGACTTTCAAAATTTTTATTTTTTTCTATTGACAATGGCCCTAATATGCTGTGTTACATTGAAAACAATGTTTTCTCATTAATTCCATTTAATTCAATATTTCTGATCAAAATTCATTCATAAAATGCATCATGAATGAAGTGAATCAATCATTTTAAATCAAGTTAAAATAAGTTAATTCAATGTGAATGAAAATACAGAAGCGTTATTGTTCTCTTAGTTAAATATTTCTCAGCGAGATTACATATTAGTTCTCCAGTCATAAAGATATTTCCTTCTCATTCCTGTGTCAAACAGGGAGTTTTTATTTTTTGGATAATGTGAAAAAACTTGGCTTAAACTACAGTGTTAAGCTACAAAAATTAAAGATGAGGTATAAAAACTACATTAAAAAATACAACAAAAAACAATGCCTACTGTCTCTTGATAAATCAACTTCACAAACTTTAATTTCTGAGTTAAAACCAGAGCAGTTTCTGGCCTCCTGCAGTACCTGGCTGTCTGGACCTCTCTGGAGCACCACTCGCTCTCCAGGTATTTTCTGCTGATGACGCAGATGGTCTTCCTACTTCCGTAAATGGCGTCGATGATGTTTTCGGTGATCGGCCTTCCTAGAAATGAAACAGTCGGTTCATATTTTCTTTGATGGTCTCCATGTCGTGGAGCGACGACAAACCCAAACTTGTAATTTTATTTTACAACTTTTAATGAGCAAAGACACGGAGCGAGACAGCGCCATTTCCAGGGTAAGGAGAATGACATTAAGTATGATAAAAGATATCAAATAATGAAGAAGGTACGCGCCTAACGGTTGGTAACCATGGAGACAGCACTGCACCCTCATGTAGCCTAGCTTGTACGGAAAAAAACTGGTTAGCATCTTTGCGTTTTTAAGGCTGCTTCGGTGTAAGAAGAAACGTTATTTATGACATCGTGATATCATAATGATATAAATCATGCGGTGTGAATTCAGGTAAAGTCAATAATTTAATCAGTACGTCAGGAGGGAGTAGATAATGGGTCGGTTTCTAAGCTAGCTGCTGCCGTCTATGAGCCCCTACCAGCTGTGTCACCTTTATAGACAAATTTGCTCAACTCAGACAAGTAGAAGCCATGAATAAACTGACAAAAACAACTTTAAAAAACAACTTCAGTTGCTCTGTTCAATACTCTTGTTCCTCACGTCCAACTTTGAATGATTAAGTGATGGAGTTGTAAATGAGCTCAATTTTCATTTGCATAATAATTATCTTAACTGGATGATAAAACCTTTCAGTCTGGTGTTTTGGTCTCAACTAGCCTCTTTTTTCAAGGATTGTTTCGTTTACAGAGACTCCATAATCCATTTTGTTTGTGTTGTTTATTTATTTTGGATTAAATATCCAAATGTCTTCCAATTTCGGAGTCAAATGTTTATAAGAATTTAAAGTTTATTGGTCTTCAAGAATGGCTTCTTGCATTATTAGGCCTTATATTACTTGAAAATGTTTCAAAACAACAATATCATTGTTAACTGCAATAACTTCTGGGATAATTCATCATCCAGCAAAATTTTATATGACAGGTGATAATTTGACAAATAGGTAAAAAAAAAAACCCAAAACAAAGTTACATACTGGAACTTGCGTTTTATAGTAGCAACTTTTGCAAGAAATTTATTGGAAGGGGGTTCGATGAAGATGAGGGCCTATCTTCATTGGACCCCCATTCAATGAATTACCATTTTTTTGTACATAAATACTAATACCATTTATCCATAAAAGGTCTTACCTGGTTCAAAGTCTCGATGGTGCAGACACAATTTCCAGCCCTGCTCTCCTTCCAGTTTGGGTAACAGTTCACCAATCACCCAAGGCTCATCATGGTGGTTATAGGAGATAAAAGCATCGTACTGATAAGAAACTTGCTTATTTTTATACTTTGAGTCAAAAAGCCAATCCAAGAAGAGGTAATAGGCATAGTACAGCTGCCACCTCATGAAGCGGTAAATGAAGGCTCCAGCCATGATGAAGAGGATCGTAGATGTGGTTGAAACAAAGTAGATAAAGTTGATATCCTGTGAGCAAAGTTTCAAGTATTTTTTAAAATCCAAAAGTCTTTTGGATTTGAAGTCTTTTGGATAGTTGCAAGAATAGTTATAAGCGTTGTTAACCTGCGTCTGTTTGCTGAAAATTGTCCAGTTGACGAACCAGGCATTAATGCAGTCACAGTAGAAACTATTATAATTAAAATCCAAATACTGAAGAGATGGAAGCGACTTGATAACCTCTTTAGAAATGACTGAATATTGGTTGTGTCTTCCCTGCAGGAACTCCAGCTTGGTCAGGTTGGCGTCTGCAAGGAAATCTAGTGAGTAAACAGCAATCCTGGATATGTAGAGGGTTTTAAGGTTTTTAATTGGGGCAAACAGCTCTGGCGTCAGAATCTCTATATCATTTGAGCTCAAATCAAGTCTTTCCAGATTAGGTGTGTTCACAAATATGTCTTGGTCAAGTTTGATTAGCTGGCAGTTCCTAGCATTGAAATTTAAAAGACTTTTTAGCCCTTGGAGGAAGTTCGAAGATAGGCTAGTCTTTCCCCTGTAGTGCTGGCCATGAAGAGACAACTCTTCCAACTGGTGAAGATCAGAAAACGGTGTAATGGTAAAATCTTTTATGCGATTATCGTTTAAATACAATCTTTTTAGGTTAGAGAGACCCTTGAAGGGACTTGTTTTTAAGGTATTAGTTGTAATATCATTTAACTGGAGCTGAATGTCAGTGAGGTTCAACAGTCCAACAAAGCAACCTTCATCAAGGATCTTTATTTGATTTTGATGTAGAGACAAATTCCAAACCGACTTCAATCCTTCAAGTTCCCCCTTTCTAATAGCAGTGAGTTTATTTCCATTCAAATGCAGTTGTTTTAGGTTTGGCAAAGAGGCTTTAAAAGCCCCTTTTAAATCAGTAATCTGATTGGATTGCAATTTGAGAACTTGGAGTTGTACCAAACCCTTGAAAGCACATTCAGTCAATTTATGGATGGAGTTGTTCTGCAGACTTAGTTCCTTCAGTCTCGTCTGATTGGAGAAATCTTGACAGGTGAGAGTGCTGATCATGTTGCTGCTGAGATCAAGTTTGGAGAGATTTTGCAGAGTTTGTATTGCGGTAGGAACCGATCGAAGTTTGTTCCTACTCATCCTCAAAATCGTTAAATTTCTTATAGATGTGAAGGCATTCTTATCGATACTTTGAATGTGATTCTCTGATAAATCTAATTCTACTACATTGACACACGGCTTAAAGTAATATGAAGAGACTGTTCTCAGATTGTTGCTTCGAAACTGCAATTTAGACACGGTTGGGATGGAGCAAGAGAGGTTGATCAGTTGCGTCTGATTGTGTTTTATATTGTTCAGGAATAGAGATGTTAGTGAGGAGTTCACCGTTTTGAGTAATGCTTCTATGTTTTCAGGAGTTGTATGAAGCCCACTGACATCAAGACTGGATAGCTGTCTGAGGAAAGTTTTGTTTTTCACATCCCATTTCATTGGTATGGTGCTGAACTTGTCACCGATGATGAGGCGAGTCAGATTTGGGAAGATGTTGGCAGTGATTTCGAAATCTCTTATGGGATTATCGGACAAATCCAAAACCTGAAGATCCAGGGAGCGATTGGTAAGTTTCCATGACTGAAAGGTTCTTAAAACATTTGTTCTTATCACTAACTCCTGCAGCTGTGGCATGTGCTGCAAAATCAGATGAAGGTTTGACATCGTTTCCAGTTTGTTATGAGAAATATCCAAAAGTTTTAACCTGGTCAAGCACTGAAAAGCGGTGGGTGACAATGCTGTGATCTTGTTAGTGTTAAGTCTTAACTCAGTGAGGTTGCCCAACCCATCAAAAGCTAACTCTCCTAGCTTAACGAGCCTGTTGTTGTTCAGTGTCAACTTCCGAAGGGAGATCAAGTTGGCAAAAGCACTGCTGTCTATCTTTGAAATGTGGTTTTCATGAAGGTTTAAATCTTCTAGAACTTTTAGATTTGTGAAATTTGAACGTTGTATTCTTGAGATTTGGTTTTTAGATAAATTAAAACCTGTCACAGTTGGTGGAATGTCTTGAGGAATAAATTCGAGTTGGCTGGCCGTACATATGGCTGCATTCCGGCTGACCCTGCAACTCTTCAGGAAAAATCCGGTGGCCAGAGGAACTAAACAGATCATGTAAATCAGGAGAAAAGCAACGCTATGATCAGAACACTTAGATCCTGCATTTGGTTTGGTTTTGCTTTCCTTCAGTCCCATTTGTAACTCCTGAGGCGAGCAAAACAGATGTTGGTAAACCTAAACAGTCAAAAAATAAAATAAGTGTACATAGGTAAAATCATTTTGATGTTTCTTATGGCGCACCATGAGATTCAATCCTGGGGTCCCTCTTATTTATTACCTACTGTAGATGCTCCCTGTTGCTCAGATTATAGCAAGTATAAGTTGCAATCACTCCATAGATTATCATACACAGCTTTACATTAAAATGTCAGCAGGTGACTAAACCCCCATTCAAGTGTTCAAACTGAAATAGATTCAACACACAGCTTAAATTATTACAGCTAGAAACTCTTGATCAGGTCTGAAACCTGGGTTTGGTGATGGACCTGAACCTTCAGAGCCACATAAAGACAGTTACAAAGTTGGTCTTCTAACATCAGAAGACATAATGTCCCAAAAAGGTCTAGAGAAACTAATGCATTTGTCTTTAGACGACAGTGTCTGCCTAAAAAAATCAATTCCAGAAAGCTGCTGCTGGCGTTCTGACTAAAACCAGGAAGAAAGAGTAGATCATCCAGTTCTGAAGTCCCTACTACACTGGGACTACACTGGCTTGATGTGAGAAAAACTCAGAAATTCTTAAATTAATATGACATTTTGATAAAAATTTAATATATTAAATCAAATTTAATATATGTAATATATTAAATTTTTCTGAAGAAAAATAATTATGACTTTTGAAATTCAAAAAGTTTCAAAGCAAGTTTCTAGAAACAAACTTTTAGATTAATCTCAGAAATTAAGAATCTAGGAAATTCCTGAGTTTGAAAAGCCCCAAAAAATTGCTAGAAAAAAGCAAAACATTTTAGATTAATCTTAGATATTTTCTAGAAAAAACAGAAAAAAATCCATGTTTTTCTCTCAATTATTTCTGAGATTGATCTAAAAATTTATGTGTTTTCTAGTAAATATTCAAAAAATATTTAATTTCTGAGACCTTTTGGTTGAAACGTACTCCTCCTTTTTCTAGATACAATGGTCCTTAACACAAATATGTCATTTTTGTGTTCATTTTACCAGCATTGTAGAATAAGAATCAGGTAATATCTGCATTTTAACTTATTGTATTGACAAATCAAAATTTTACATAATCTCAATTCAAATAGTTTCCTGATGCTTACCTTGAATCACTGATGTTCATGTATTTCTGAGCATTTTTCTGACATTTTTTTGTTTGACGAGCAGATGAGTGATATCTTCTTGATGTTTCAGGGTTGTTCTTTTGATATCTATGTTTCTGTTCCTTTTCTTCCTCTTTAGTAAAACTAGGAAGTCCTGTTAGAGGAAACTTCCTTTTGAAATCCAAGTATCACTTTCACTTCCCTATTGTTCTGACAATCAAGCATAAAATTTAAATTTCAGAAATATTTTTGAGCGTTGTCATTTGCACTTTTAAAAAAATCAAAATATTTTTTGATAAAGCAAATCAATGAAAAGAATAAAGTATTTGATATGCACTCTATATTTTTCTGTTCTTTTTTTGAGATTTTTCTATTTATTTTTGCAGAACATATGTTTTTCTGTTTTCTTTTTGAATGTTTTTGTAACAGTCATTTACTGTATAGTGTTTTCTTTTCTTTTATTTTTGCTGTTTTGGTGCTTCCCTGTCAAAATGCAAGAAGTTGTTTATATCTGCTTCGCCTCGTTGTAAAGCAGAGGCAAAGCCAAATAATCTCCTAATAACCACAAATCATAATAATCTAGTGGTTTAGTTTGAGTTATAATTATGGAGGACATCTAACTGGTAACTGTCACTGCAGCAGGAAATTTTCTAATAATTGCTTCCTTATTTTACATATTGTAGGAATGAGCACTTCCCTAATGTGGCAGAAGTGGTTATAAACTGCAGCCGTTTTAAAGAAACATGTTTAGCGTGAGAAGATTTTCTCATAGTTGTTGCAATGTTAAACCACAACTGGAATGATAATATAATGGCTACAAATTTAATAAGCTAGCAGCAAAAATAAAAAATAGCAAAAAAATTTGGGATAACATGATTATTGTGACTGAACTTGAAAATTGATGTTCAGATACTCTCTGCTAAATCTGGGAGAGTTTTTTTTTTTCAGATATGTTAGCAAAAATAATTCTAGATGTACAAAGGCAGTGGAAGTATTGACTCAGTTAGTCTGCCACATAAAGTCCCAGTGAAATATACTGGATTTAATGGCTGTAATATGGAAAGATCGTCTGGGTTTGCTGCACAAATCTGCTGCCTTCCCCTTCATTGTTATTTAAATGTGTCACCAGCAGAGGTCGCTGTTTAAACAGAAAACTGTAATTTTTTTCCTCACAGAAGACAGAATATCTTTACCATGGACCTATAGCTTATTGATTCAACACTTAGGTACATATAAAAAAACATGTCTGACTGTAATTGTGTTAGTATTGTTTAAAAAATATTCTCCCTTAATCGGATAATTTACACAATTCAAGTTATTTAAATTATAATCATGTCATCTCATGCTTCATGTATTTTATTATTTAAAATTTGATGTTTTTTTTGCAGTTTTCACAAGATTAAACATCTGCCTTTATAGCAGCTCATAGTTACTTTTAATAGTTTCTGTGTGCTTAAAGGAGAAATTACATTAAAAACATTGTTGGCGGGATTGTTAATCTGCAAAAGGAAGAGGAAAAAAATTAGGTAAAAAATGTTAGGCACTGTGAATGTATTGTGCTTCAAATCTTCCTCGTTTGATCTTCCAAACAAACTGCTGTTGATTTAAAGAAAGTGTAGCTTTTCAATGGCGGCGCCTCGGTGGCTTTTTCTGACTGTCGCTATGGCAACAAAACCGTCTGTTGCTCCTTTTCGTCAAACAGAAAGGTCCATCGTCTCATCGCTCTGCTGTTTGTATGAATCGTGAACCAGCTGCCCTGAGACAGCTCTGCCTCTGATCTAAAACAAAAACGTCACAGGAAAAAAAAAAAGAAGAAAAGATGGAGGCAGAAGGAAACAAAGATGGCAGATTTTATTCTTTGTTTCCTTATTTCATTAATCTGATCCAATCGGTTTCAAATCATTACAGTGCTGTTAAAGATTTATTTAACACTGAAGTATTTCACACGATCAAAGGAATTTTAATATCACCCAAAGATAATTACAAAATCCAATTTTTAAGTGGTAATTATATTTATTAAGGGAAGAGAAAAGGGATTCGAACCAATTGAACCACCAGCAAGCTCATCGAAAATACCTGGATAATTAAACACTGACCAGAAATAATTTACAAATATAGATACAAACCTTTATTCTGGTTATTGCTGATTATTTATTTTCTGGTGGGGGACCAGGGAACCACTTGAGTCAGGACCGCCACTGTTTAATCCACTCTGGATTGAGATTTTTTAAAGCGCGCATTTCAGTCTAGATGTAGAAAGCTGGACATAAAAAATTAGAATTAGATTATTTTTGCTTGCATGCCACACTTTTCAGATTTAAACAGCCAGAGAAACATGTATTTTTCACAATTACATCCACTTTTTTCACATTAAACTCACAAAACAATTGTTTAGTTGTTGGAACATAAAGATTGTAACTTCCAGATCCATTTATGTCGCTGCCAGATGCAGAAAGGGATGAGTTGCTTTGCTCAGGTGCAACATCTCACCTGATTTATCTGTCTAGATTTGGGAAAAGAAGACATCAGCTGGAGACTGAAGGCTCATTAGCTTTCATCACAGCAGATGAAGCCTCCAATCATGAATATCTCTGAGAATCAGCTCCATCTCCATCATCCCTACACGATTCTGCCGCTCCTGTGGGAAATACACCGACACGTGCGCGCGCACAGCCACCCACGGGGCGCGTGCTCGGATTAATCATATCTGAGGAGGGAGAGAAAGAGATGTTGAGTCCGGTGTGACTTATCTATCCTACACTCTGCGCTGCTGCTTCTGCACACCTACACGCACTCCGTAGCTGTCACACACACACACTCAGCGGGACTGACGCACTGTGAGGGAGAAAGAGAGAGAGAGAGAGAAAGGAGTCAGACAGGCTCCGGCAGAGGGATGTACCGGACCCTGCTGTATGAAACGGGACCGAATTGTAGAGCGCGGACTGGAACGGGACCAGCGTAGCTAGTTTGAAGAAGTAAGGAGTCACCTGGCTGCCGAAGGAAGAAGAGAGCTGGAGGGGCTTTATAGGGAGGAAGAGGAGGAGGAGGAGAAGGTGGAGGGGTGTCCGCCTGACTCGGCTCTGATTTTGGGGGTAACGCCACAACGGAGAGTCCACGCAAAGTTTCCTCGATGGCGCTGGTGATGGAGCCGGTGAGCAAATGGAGCACGAACCAGGTGGTGGACTGGATGAAAGGTGAGCCGTCATGTAACCACCAACTCACCTGGAAACACGCAGAAACTCTGGGCGTTATAAACATGCAGGGGCTCAGGGGAGTAGATGGGTGTATGTTGCGTGGGAGGTGTGTTCGCGGGAGAGTGTCCATGTCTCATCCTAGCACCTGATGATCAGTGGGTGATAATGCAGCCTGCTGTGAGAGTGACAGCAGGAGAGACAGACAAACTTCTCTGCTGCCAACAGGGGTGCGCATTAGAGATTTAAGGGCCTGGGGGACAAAGAGGCCACCAAAACCTGAAATGGGCCACATAAGTATTTTTCTGTGAAATTAAAAATGTCATGAACTGAAAGTTGTTGTTTTTTTGCTAACTACAGATTTAGTTTTTATTTTAATTTAATTGTAAACATCCAACAACTTTATTGTCAATGGTTTTTATTTTATTTTTTTATTAATGTGAAGATTTGAACCAATACAGCAAAATAGATGAAATGCTAGCAAAACAAAATAGTTCATATTTGTGCAGTGGAATGAAAGTGACTTGAAGTTTAAAACGTATACAAATAAAACTTTTTTTTATAAAAGCTGTTTAAAAAAAAAAAAAAAAACTTTTTATTTATTAGTTTTTTACAAAGTACCTCAGATAAGTTAGATAAGGTAAGTTAGAAGTAAAAGGAATACATTTCCATTAAAAAAAAAAAAAAAATTATTTTTGGAAATTTTCAACAATAAACTTGGGGATTTGAATAGTGTGAAATTTGCTAAAAAAAAATGCTGAAATAATGCTGAAGTTTTGAGATTATTTTAAAATTGCTTCCATAAAATGTTATAAAAAAACGAGTACATTTCTGAGTTTGGTAAATCGAAAATCTGCTAGAAAAAAGCTGAAATTTTGAATATAATCTTAGAAAGTTTCTAGAAAAAGTAAAAAGAAATTTCCATGTTTTTTGTAGAAAATTTTTTAGATTAATCTAAAGATTTCTGAGTTTTTTGGGTGGAAATTTGCTGCTGTTTTTTCTCTACAATTAATACACCATTGTAGATTTTACAATTTTTTTTGTATTAAATAATTATTTAAATTTTTTAGGCTCAGTTGAACATTTTAAGTTATAAATAACATTTTCCATTGTAAGAACTTATGTCAATAATGATTTCATCTTGATTAAAAATAAACTAATAAGTAGCATTCTTGAACTGTCGTTGGAGGCCATGATAAATCAGTCTAAGGGCCACAAATGGCCCCTGCGCCACACTTTGGACACCGTGATTTAAAAGCTGATAATTTCCCCTCATGTCTGAAAGTATTTTCTGTTTTTTGGTTCATTCTCTGTGTGTCCGTGAGGTTGTGTGCAGATCCAGCAGACCAAATGTTTCTGAAATATTCGAACAGGCCTCTCTGCCAACATCAGCCACGTTTTACTCAAAGGCAGCTTCCAAAAATTCCCTGTTTGGAAGCTGCTCAGTACAGCAGGTTGGATTCTCACATCTGGTGTTTGGAGGCTTTGAAATGCTGCAATGCGATTGGCTGAATAAGTTTACCAGCAATTCAACTGGCGTACCTAATAAAATGGACTGATCCATCCATCCATTCATCCATCCATCAGTTGGTTTGTTCATCCATCCGTGCATCCATCCATCATCCATCTGCATAATGTATGTTGGTTTTCTATTTTATTTCCTTGATGACTTGAATATTTTTCACAGTGTGCTGGTTTGCATCAATATCAAGGAATTATATATATATATATATATATATATATATATATATATATATATATATATATATATATATATATATATATATATATGAAGTCCTTTGGCTGGTTAATGTCTCTGAAACTCTTTCTCCTCCTTTCTATTTAACTTTGCTGGTGATTCGATGCAATTTGGACCTAATTCTTGTATTTATTGCGACAGAAACTATGCTTCACCACAGGGGCAGATTTTATTGATTGTTTGTAATTGCTCTGAAGCAAATGACTAATTTAAACTTAACATTTTGCATGTGCTACATTCAGATACAGCTATAGATTATGAATCTGAATCTTCATTTGCAATTTTGTGTATTAGCAGGAAGAATAAACACTCAAAAATATAATTATTTCCAGAGGTTCTTTCTTTTATTATTATTAAAAATTTGACCTTGTTATTGTTTGCAGCCTTAAACTTTGGTCAAAGTTCAACAGATTTAATGATTTGGCTCAGCCTGGATAGTTTACTGCAATGCACCGCATAAATGCAGTAATCAAGTCCTGACGAAGCAGCCTTTAAAGACGTAACTCTAATCTTTCTTAGGCTGGAAGATTACGTAAAAATAAAAAAACACATACGCACACAGATTAACCTAAGCATGATTATTTATCTGGGAATGTAGTTGAGTGTTTATGAGGGATTCTGTGATATTGGGCAGCGATCAGACGGGAGATTAAGTCATGAATAATTCAGCAGCCAAGCTGATTAGGTCTGTACCTTCAGGCCTTGAACACTTTTCCACGCATAAATGGCTTTTGTATGGAAATGCAATTTTTTTCCACACCTTCTAGAACAGAGGTGTCAAACTTGGCTTCATTTTGGGCCACATTAAGATCATAAATGTTGTTAAAGGGCCAGTTGTACCAAAATGCTTTGATAAACCTGATAAACAACCGTCTCTGCATTTCTTAAAATGTAATCAGTTTTCACAGCGATGAATGCCTTCAGGATTTCACAATTTTTTGTTTTTTGATGAATTGCTCATTTTAAACTATTTGCAAGGAATTTTGCAATATTTGCACTTTTGTATGACATCAGGTAAGACAGAAGTGGAGAAGTAAAACATACTGCCACCACCAGGAGGGAATTGGCATCACTTGAAACCAATGTTTTTAACCATTTCCATGGAAAATGGAGGATTTTTAGTCAATTCACAATTGCGCATTAGCACAAAAAACTAACATGATTTGTTTTAGTGAATTTACATGGCCATAGTTAAACTGGAAGCATTGACCAATGTAATTTGACAATAAACAAATAAAAAAAAACTAATTCGATTAATAAAATAATATTTAAACACAACTGTTATCTTGAAGGTTGTATTTTGTAGCTTTTTGCAATAAATTGTTAATTTGAAAATATTTGCACTTATGTATTATGGTAAATGTTACTATTATTTTTAAATTATCTGTCACAGACTAGAACTTGACATCAACCAAGAGCCAGAGGCAGAAGTGTATTAGTATAATATACTGCCATCTGCAGGTGGAAGTTGGAATCACTTAAAACCTGTTTTTGATCATTTTTGGGGGGAACATTTTCAATAAACTCAAACTTGTGCATTAGCACAAAAAATATTTCTTAATTTTATGTAAATTTACATAATCGTAGTAAAACTGGAAGTATTGACTGATGTAATTTGACAGTAAAGAGATAAAAAAAAATTACTGAAAATGATTAATAAAATAAGATGCACACAACTGTTATCTTGAAGATTTTATTTATACATTCCTCTGGAGTCTAGAGGGCCACTTAAAAACCTACAGTGGGCTGAATTTGGCCCCTGCGCCTTGTGTTTGGCACATTTGTCATCAGGTAGTGCAAAAAAAAAAAACATTGTTTCAGTCTCAGTCCTTTAAAAAGAAGTTTCTTTTGTTTTTTTTGGCTCTTCTTCATTTATCTTTTGTGTTAATAGTCATGAATTATCGCGACACGTTACGATTGTTGGAGGAAACTGATTTTGGCTCCACATCCGCCAGGCATCCCCTGCCAGCTTTAAGGACTAATACATTAATCAGATTTATTATCTGGGCTCAAACCAGCTGCCAACTCTTTATCGTCAAGCCAATGCTTTAAGCACCAGCTCCATTAGCAGAGTGATATACGTTCAGTTGGGCCTAAAGGGAGAAAATATGAAGGTCATTTATGATTAGACAAACTTTCCAGTCCGGTTTGCACAAGTAGTTATGTCTTAAAGTCAACTTGTAGCTCATTTAAACTTTAAAAACATAATTTTGTTTTCCTATGGCTGTCTGAATTCATAACACATTGCAAAATTGCGAAAGAATTATCTCACTTAATTTTTCAAAATAGTTGTAACTCGTTTTGATTTCTACAAAACAAGGCTTTTATGATTGAAATGCCTTGTTGCTGAAATTCATGGGGGACCAGAACTGACATAATTAAAAATAAAAGCTGAAATATATATATATATTTTATTTTTTTTCCTTTTATTTTTAACTGTCAGGTTTAGTCCTCCATAGAAATTTGCTATACAGATCAAATTTGATTAGATTTTTATTTGAAAACATTTTTGTTTTTGATTATCAATAAACATTTCAACATTGTTTGCTTTTCTTCTCTTTAACTGTTGTCATTGCTTTTTGTTTCTTGAGACGCAGAAAGGAAAAAAACACGACACAGTCTCAAAAAATGAAAAACAACAAATCTGTGACAAATGATAAACACTTGTTACTCATCATGTCTGTTGGTTGCATAAAAAGCAGGTCAGGGGGTCCGTTAACTCAAACGCACTAATAAAATGCAGGTGGTGTGAGGCTCTGTTTACAGCAGGGATCTTTGTTGGCCGTGTTTACATGTGTCTGGGTGGGTGGTGGGCCGCCGGTCTTGGCACGTTTGTGCTCAACAGCTGACAGACTCGCACGCCGGCTCCAAACAGAAGGCCGTGCCCGAATCCTCGGACATTTGCACCAACACACACACGCTGAAGCCCGCTCAGAAACGTGGCTCGCCTCGGTTTGGTATTCGGTTCACGCTGGGTTGGGGTGTGTCCGTGGCAACGGCGGGTAACGTGATACACCATACTGTATGTGTGTGTTTAACCTTCACACTGCAAAAACACACAATCGCACCAAGTAATTTTGGTCTTGTTTTGGTCCAAACCTTTGTCATGTGGGCCAAAATTGCCGACTCAAAAGTAGTTTCAGACTAAAACAACCCAACATAGAGTAACTTTTTTTTTTATTTTTTAAGTTTTTCTAAATTTTTGTAGTTTCAAAACTGCAAAAATTTAGTCTGTATGCGCCAA